GGGTGGGGTGTGAGGGGCTTGGCCGGCCCACCTGCACAGCAGGGTTCACGGGCATCTCCCCAGTGGGCCTGGCAGCATCCCCCGGCCTGTCCTCCAGGGCCTTCCGGTTTCACTGCCCTTCATGAATTCCTGGACCTCACAGTCTGCCCGGTCTCTAGGGCTGGGCTGCCTCTTCCCATCCAGGGCGACCCAGAGCCCACCAAGCCTAGGAACCGCCTGACCTTGCGTGTGGGAAGTGCCACTATCGCCCACTGCAGAGGCGAGAGGACAGAGGCTCAGAGAGGTCACTGCACGTTTCCGAGGTCGTGCTTCTAAGTGGTGATGTGCAGCTACCCGGGAGAGTGGCCCAGGAGGGACCCCGTCAGCTCGGCGTGGGTCGATTCGGGGATGGCACGAGGCCGGCTGAGATCACTGGTGTCAGGTGAAAGGACGTGTGAGCCAGAGGCTCACGATCCTATGTACTTTGTATCCACTTGGCCCTTGGAACTTCTCTATTTACAATAAAAATCATTGGTCTTTTATGAAAAACTGACAAGAAAGTTCTGCAATCAAACGGGAGGACATGCAGTCCCCGCCCCCTGCCTTCTTTCAGGAATGCTTGAGAAACTCTTTCTGTGGCTCACACTTCAGAAGGTTGGGGGCGGCCCCCTCCAGAGCTCGACTCTCCTTTGAGTAGAGGCTGACGCCTCAGGGGTGCCGAGGTCGGAGGGGCGACCACCCCGCTGACTTCTGCACAGACTCACAACACGTCACATCCCCAGCCTGCAGAGGGGCAGGAAGCACCATCCAGAGAAGGAGGGTCACATAGGGCTGTTTACTTTCACCGAAAGACGACAGTGGAGAGGTGGAGAGAGTTTAGGTTGAAAGCTGAGGAAGGACGGGTACAGAGTGTCTCGATGGTTAGAAGCATGATTCAGAACAAGACCACGCGGGGGACTGGCTACACTTCCACTCTGTGCATGTTCGAGGCGGGGAAAATACATGGCACCTCTGTCACCCATGGAGAGCAAATGGGCAGATGACACGTGTCTAGCCTACGTCACCACAGGGGCCTGTGGCTTAGGAACACGCTGAGTCAATTTGCTACTTGAGAATTTACTTCACCTTGATGGTGGACTGCCCCAAAAGTGGAATTCTCAGCAACCTCCCATCCCGGCTTGGGAGGGCTGAGAGGTCCTTTCTCCAGTTTCCAACAGTCCAACTCGGTGGATGCACCCAGACCTCATTCCCTCCGCCCACGTGTTCCCTGACGTAACAACAAAAAGAGATGTTTCCTACGGCTTAGTCACTGGCAGGTGACAGGGCCGCCTGGAAATCAGGAGCTAAGCTGATACAGCTGCTTTCAAGGAATTTGTTTGACTGTAACTTGAGGATTCAGCGTTCAGCATCCATCATAAATGCACCAGTCTGAAAGGTAGAATGACTCGTTATTCAAGGCAACAAATAGAGGCATCGTGTCATCGTAAGGCACCTACTGAGCCTTGTGTATCTGTGTCTCTCTAGATGATACCAGCTCGATGAAGACAGGCCCAGCTCCAGTAAGCCAAGACACGCCGGTCTTTCTGTGTGAAGCTGACATGACCAGCAGGCCCTGGAGAAAGCCTCCCATTGCTCTGAGTGTCCTTTCCATGCCTCTGAAGCCCGCTGACTCCCTGGACCCGGGGCACGATGCTGACGTGCTCAGCAGGAGGCAGAGTGTGGTATCTGCTCTGGTATCTGTGGTATCCCTGGCCCTTGGGCGCTCGGGAGTGACTGGAACCACAGGAGCGCTTCACACCGCAGCCTCAGTGGGATCACCTAGACACAGGAACTGGGGGAAAGCTCACAAAACACACATGGGCATAGCACGAGACTTGGTGCCTCCTGAATCCATCCATCTAGAATACTCACTGGGGAATCACTGCGGAGCAAGGCAGCCGTTCCACGGGCTCTGGTGCTCCTGTATTAGGCCTTGCTCTAGAATTCATCTTGATAACGTAGGGCTGAATTCCTGGGTACTTTTCCTCTCTTGAGTCGAGGCAGACGTAGTGTTAGGACCACGCCTGACTGGTCACAGCTGTCTTTCCGTGGCCTGGCACCATGCCTGGTACAGAAAAGCCCTTAATGAATGTCTGTGCATGGCGGGCTGACTGACTGAATGAACGACTGAGCCCCACAAGAAACAGAGTGGGGTATACAAGCTCAGTGGGGTACACAATGGGGTATACTCAGCTCAGTCTGAGTCCTGCGACCTGAATAAGATGGAGGGGGTGTTGGGCCGGTTAACTGTCCATCACCCTAAGCATCAAGGACACAGACAACATAGGTTCCAGAATCTGGGTGGGGTGGCTTCCCACAGTTACATCCACCCCCAAACAAGCTGCAAGCACCGTGGATGAGAACAGCTGTTTCCATCCTGAGGCAAGTCAACCGCTCACCCACCGAGAAGCGGTCACTCAAGCAGGACGAGGAGGAAAACGCCTTGAACAGTTAAGTTTCCTGCAGAAAAGCATTTCTTTTGATGGTAACTTTAAGACATAATTTGTGTAGTTTCCTTTTCAGTAGCTGTGCTTGATGGTGCGGCGTTATTAGCCTCTGTTAACAACAGAAGTGGTAAGGAAATTACTCACCGCAGTCGTCAAGTTGGTTATTAGAGGCAGGCAGGAGAGTGGCCCTCGGGCTGCTCAGCTCAGATCGCTGCAGTCAGCAGAGGTGTGGGCCACCGTGGGGCAGGATGTGAGAGGGGAGCAGTCGCCTGGCCTCGGCTCCTGGTGAAGCGTTCAAATCTGTATCGCAGAAGCCAGCTGGCCTGGCCAGGGGATGGGTTTCCTTTGTTGTAGAAGAGTCCCTGGGTGACAATTCCTGTGAGGATAATACTGCTCCAAGTCTGAATTTCATAAAAGCATTTTGTATAGTCATAAGGCGATGTCTTGGGAAAGCAGTGCACACACCATTTTTTACTTTCTAAAAGTGTGCGTGACTCATTCCCAGGAGGACTTGGTGCCGTGGACTTGCGCCCCGAGTGCCCGGTGGGCCTGCATAACAGGGGCATCTCGGTTCACTTGACAAGCATTCATCTGAAAGTGCTCACTGGGCAGCGAGCCTCGCCTTCCCCCGTGTCCTTGTCCACGAGTGGACAGAGGGGAAGCTCTTTAGTTGGGTTTTATTGGGCGCAACATGCCAGCTTTCAGCAGGGACTTCCGAACACCGTGGTACTTCTGTGGAAATGAGAGCAAACAACCCTGTCTGTGCAAAAGAACTGTCTCCAGACACCGCTTCCTCGGAACAGGAAGACCTGCCAGGACACGGGCCTGGGAGGAACCTGTCTGCAGTCCACAAGAAGCCCACCTGGATGTGGAGGCTGCTGTTGGGTGACGCTCACAAAACCAGTCGGTTCTGTCCAGTTTCTGATGTCTGGCCTGAGCCTAGGGCCAGTGCCTCCAGCCCGAGCCAGAGGACGGCTGTGCACAGACCTCTGCTCTCAGCTGCCTATCTGCCAGATGAGGGGTTGGACTAGACTTCTTTTCTTGCCCCTCTGAAAAATAAGTATTGTGGTTTTGAAGCAGAGAGATCAAGAGCCCCG